CTTTCTGAAGCCTCTTTGTATAATTTTAGAGGGTTACTCCTTTACATGTGAAGAGGTCTAAGAAGCCCAAGTTAATAACCCTGATTTATAGCTACAGCTGTCTACAAAATAATAAATTTGAGATCGTAAAGCATATGTCATGATTGCTATATATATTTTTTAACTTTTTATTGTAAATTGAGCAAAGGTTTACAGAGAAGATCAACAGTTTTACATTCAACAAATTATATATTATTCTTCATCTCAATGAGAGTAATCCCCTCCATGTAACAAGTTAACCCACTTCCTCCCTATGGTTCCTATTATTCCACCCACCTTCCTATCCTAAAGTAAATGTTGCCCTTATGATTCTGAATGATTGAGCACACCTTACTAGTGCTGTTCCCCGATATACCTATCTAGTGATTGGCTGAAAATTGAGCCACACAGGGGAGTTCCTTTCCAGACCTGAAGGATGGGTGAGGGCCATAGTTTTGGGTTCCTCCAGTCACTTTCTAACTAAGTGCAATCTTATTTTATAATTTTCAGTTTTGTTCCACCTTTTCTTCCACTCTATCCAGGATCTTCTAATGTGATCCCTTTCATAGCAGTTGGTTGTGGTAGCTGGGCACCATCTAGTTCTTCTGGTCTCAGGGTCATGGAAACTGATGTTCACATGTTCCATTTGTTCACTGGACTAATTGATCCCAGGCATCTTCAATTCTCATCACTTTTCTTTCTTCTGCACATGAAGAAACCAATCGTTGCACTCAAAATGTGTGCTATAATCTGTTTGCTAAGGAAGTATAGCAAAGATTTCCAATTGAAACAATTAAAAATAAAGATCCATGTAAAGGACTGAACTTTCATTATTTGAAATTTCAATAACTGAGAGTATCTTATTCTAAATAAAATTCTGGATAAGTAAGGTCTGCCCAGATTACATTTCTATTCTATTCCTTTGGTTAAGGTTAAATCACTCTTTCTACTTAATAAAGCCATCTCACATGAATGTGTGATTCAACTTCACAGGTATATTTACATTTCATGACTCTTCCATTTTCTCCTAGTAGACCCATAACAAATACATATACACACATATCCTGAACAACCAGTTTTAACAAAACACAGAGCACAAATTTCAGAATCGGAGGGAATCACTGACTGATTCCTCTTCTGGTGCTAACATTTTCAGGTCAAGTCACCTTGGGCCAAATCACTTAAATGCCTGACATCATTTCCTCATTTGTAAAAGGGTCGGGGATATGATTTACCTGAGAGAGCTGTTATGAGAATTCAACCAAACAATGCATTGAAAGGATGAAAAGTGGATGAAAGAACAGATCATCTGGAGTTGCTCCCAAAACATCAGGCATTCAGTGCAGATCATTTTGAGAGTTGCTCATATTAACAACTTCATGTGCCATTACAAATTTACTATCTGCTGTAAAAGAAATTGTTCTTAAATTGCTCAAGGAAATTGTTTTGATTTAGTGCCCAACATTAAAGTTCTTTAACATCAAAAGTCTGCAGAATTGAAAAAAATTTTTTTTCAAGAGCAATGATTCTCTGTTGAAAGGTTTACAAAAGGCAGCAGGATACATACTTAAGAATTTAACTAAATTAAAGAGTCTGGTGTGGCACTGCAGGATAAGCACTGGACTGCTAACTGCAAAGTTGGTGGTTCAGACCCACTGCTGCTCCTTGGAAACCCTATACAGAGTTATTACCGGTCAGAAACTACTCAATGGCACTTAACAGCAGTTCAGAAAAACTAAGTCAAAATAACATCTTTTTTTTTTTTTAGTAGAGAGTGTTTGCTTTTAAAGGAAGCAATACCATTCTAATTTGAGACATATGTTCAAGTCCATACTTCATGGATACACAACATAAGGTTTCTTTTCTCCACTACATATCAAAGTTCTTAATCATTCCCTGCTATTTTTCTTACATTACTTCATTTACAGTTTCAAAATATGTTTACATTATTTCAATAGCTATTGAAATAGGGCTATTCTACCTTTAAAAATTGAATTAAACAACTTTTTAGTAATTTGGTACCATGGGAAAAAGATCATTACATCTTATCAAAGCTAATAAAGGCTAGTCAAAGCTAATAAAGAATGATTGGCCTTGGTGCCTAAAAAAGAGCCAAGAGGAAAAAAACACTGATTTAGCTGGTGTGGCACTGCAGGTTAATGCTCTGTACTGTAAGATTGGTTTGAACCACAAGGTCGGTGGTTCAAGCTCACCAGCAGCTCCTTGAAAACTCTATATAGGGTCATTATGAGTCAGAACTGACTTGAAGGCACTTAACAACAACAACTACTACTAGATTGTGGAGTCCTGGTGTGGCGCTGGACTGCAAGGTCAATTTGAACTGCAAGGTCTGAGGTTCTAGCTCACAAGCCCCTCCTAGGAAATCCTAAACAGGGTCACTGAGTTGGAATCGACTTGATGACAACAGCAACACAACTAGATTGATATCCTGGTGTAGCACTCTTGGATAAAGCACTGGAGTGAAAGGTAGGTTTGAACCATAAGGTCAGCGGTTCAAACCCACCATCAGCTCCTCGGAAACCCTACACAAGATCGCTATGAGTTGGAATCAACTTGATGGCACTTAACAATTACTAGATTGGAGTCCTGGTGTGGTACTGTAGGATACACACTGGACTGCTAACCACAAGGTCAGAGGTTCAAACCCACCAGTTGCTTCTCGGAAACCCTATACAGGGTAACTATGAGCCGGAACCAATTTGACAGCTCTTAGCACTGGCAATCTGCTCCCGTAAAGATTTACAGCCTCAGAAACCCTGTTCAGGGTCGCTATGGGTCGAAACCGACTCGACGGCACTTAACAACAACAA